TTTTCAATACCATTCGTCCTACGCCCGAAAGAAGTACACGTACCAAGTTTCGTTAAGATATCTTAATTTTTACTCGAGTTATCGTGTGCACAGACGGACGGACGGACGGACGGACGGACGGACAGACAGTCACCGCTTAATCGATTTCTCTTTTCATCCTGATCATTTATGTATACATTTGTCTATATCTATCTCGATTCGTTTTGCCTGTTACAAACAACCGTTATGTGAACAAAGTTATAATACCCTTGTGCACAAGTGCGCTCGGGTATAAAAATATGGGTACGAAATGAAAGAGGAAATTTCTTTAGAATTTAAAAAAATTTAAATTTTTTGGATTCGCAGGGACGAATAGGTATTTTAAGGTCATATAGTTAAAAGAGCGAAATTCTGCTTCTGAATTCTGATGCTGATAAAGGAGGTGCCGATTTCCCTCCAAGCGATTAAACGCGATTAAATGGGAACTTGACCGGTCCATGATCGGGAAGGCGCAGAAGGCGTGGATTAAAACGCAAGCCTGCAAGGTGTCCAGGGTTATGTGCAGAGCACATGATATGATAGAATCAATCTAATGAAAATGTATGGACTTTATGGTATATGTACATACATTAGGGTGGTTCCAGCATGCATGAGAAAAAGTAAAGTCACCAAAAAAAAGTAAAGTCAAAATAAAAAAAAAACAGGGCTATAATTTTTTTCCGAATAGAAAAATCTTGGGGCGGCTTTCCTTCTTTGGACAACCATGATATACATAGATAGCAATTTGCTTATATTTCTAGCATATAATTTACCACTTTAATTTATCAAGCGCGTGCGAAGCGTGAAAGTATGATACAAAAATTCGAAATAGACAAAAAGAATAAGCAGAAGAACAAAAGTTGTAATTTTTATTATTTAACTAATTTTTCAAGGGCAATTAGACCATGCAAGTGAAGGGCAAAGCGATGGACTACTGTATTAATTCAGTAAGAGGGGAACCAGGATGAATGTATTCAGACAAAAAATAAATTATTTATTCAAGACAGGCAATGTTTCCAATGGCAGTCATCACCGCTGCGTGGTTGGAAGTCGAACAGAGCCCCGACGGCTTTTAGCACTTTAGCTTCCGCCGTTAAGAAAACTCTGAAAAGTCAGATCCCAAACTTTTTCCAGGGGACAGTGCTGCCGATCGAATTACACAGGTCCCACTTTTCTCAGCACCAAGACGTGACCTTAACGGGGTTAGATCGCCGAAACAACTGCCCTTAGTCGGCATCCACACAGAGTCGTCACCACTTTCAGTGACTCTCGTGTCGTGATTAGCGAAGAAGAATCATCTATTGTAGATGAAGAACTGTAGCTGCCATTAAGGTCTGTATATTGGAGTCTTCGGAACCCTGCTCACTCAAACCCACTCCTCGAACACTCCTCTCCCTCTGACCCAATCGCGTTGAAACAGCACGTTGTGGGTAAGTCTATATGGGTCTCGAAATCTGGTTTATGCTAACTTGTAAGTCAGCTGCCAATCTTTGATATCTTTTTGTTAAAGATCAGTGCATACTAGTAGTATTTTTAATTCCACAATTTAGATTCGACTGACCTGGGGCGCTGGTGGCAGTTGTAAAGAGATTTGGCTTTTTTAGATGGAAGATGGTATGCAACCCTACTTCAGAAGCGCTGCTTATAGCACCTCCGCTAAGTAGTCTTTGCGTTTTACTTACTTTTTAAACGAATTAAAAAAATTCACACTAAAGGACTGATGGAGCAAATCCAGGCCCGCCAGTGGTATTCTGACAATCACTACTCTAAATTTTCGTCGCCAAAATTCTGTAAATTAAAAGCAGTGAGGCCTAAAAGTATACAACATGAAGAAGTAACAGATGCAGTATGTAGTCGGACAAACGTGGCAGTATGAGGCACATGTAACTAGATGTTGCCAGTTGTTAGGCGCAACTGCTATTAGTTTAAAGATTTTTGGCAATCAAAATTAACGATATTTATTTTCAGAATCCCTGCATTGGAAATATCATATAGGTCCCCCCTTGTCATTGCCTTCACTTGGCATTCACAACAAGAAAAAATGGCTGACGTGCTATGTCGAAAAGAAGAAGAAAGCATTAATCGCACCGAAACAAACCTTAGGATTATACGTAATATGTTTGTATTACATAGTTTTGTTTTATTATAACACATAAAGGTACTTATAAATACAAATGTATTCCACAACTTAAGTTGTAAATTAATTTTTTTTTCTCAACAAATTTCAAGGAGTGTACTCCATGCCCGGCTGCCATGCAACATTCGATTTGTTAGCTTCATATCCTAGCAAATGCTCCCTTGAAGCCGCCACCTGACAAGCTCTCCCCCTTTTAAGAGCATTTTGTACGTAGAAATTACTTTGTTGCAAAACTCCAATTGATTGTTTTTCAAATAAAGGCCGTACTGATTTCATTCTTCGCAATTTCACTGATCTAGTAAATCGATATGTCTGGCTCACAATAAGCATACGAATGGGCCGCAAAATAGCATAGAAAACCAGTTCGGCTAATGAAATGAAACTGAAGCCAAAAAAGAGTCCAATTATGCCGCCAATATTTGCTGAAATATAAAAAAAAAAATTGGTAAACGTAATTTAAGGTAATTAAATTTCAAACTCTTTCAATAAAGGTATGCCCTTAAATCAAAAAGTTTAGAAACCCTCGATATTCTCGCAAATTTAACTAAAGTGTCAAAATTTTTATGGAGTACTTTTCGGGTCGGGTCGAGTTTTCTAGCTTTTCGAGTTTAAGAGTAGCGCCAAAATGCTTTTCATAACCTACAATTTTGCCGAGCTTTCTAGTTAGTTACTTAATTCTATGTACATACAGTCTGCGTCAAAAATATGCGTACCCTGACGTTTTGACGACTTTATTTATTTATATTTTCCATATCAAATTTTTCTAAACTTTTTATAAAAGCATGGTTTATTCAACAGCAAAAAAAAAATTTAATTAAAAAAAAAGTAAATTTTGAGAATTTTTTTTGTCGAGGGTGTTGCGCATTTTCTTCCATTTAACGCATGAACACATTTTTTTTTTATATCTTGACGATTTTGCTGTTGAAAGAAATATATTTTTTTATAAAAAATTTGGCATACAAAATTTATGTAAATCAATAAAATCGTCAAAACGTCAGGGAATGAATATTTTTTTTAGCTAACTGTATGTGGGAAATTGTAAAGATCTTCTGCCCGCACTTACACAAAAAATCCGTTACACCAATAAAATCCATATTTTTCTCACTCCTGTAAGCGTAATCTTTGAAGTAGATTTTCACCATAGCAATATTTTTCTGCACATATTCGCTGCTAATATTTTTAACCATTTGATTGTCAATTTGAAATCCCGCATGTATAAGTGGTGCCGAGAAAAACGTTGGCAAATAAGAGAGATCGTTACAAGATGACGGACATTCGGCAGCACAGCCTTTTCCTGATTTATTGATTAACATCGTCAGCAAACGAACACGCTCAACACAAGCCGTATCACGTATGTCACAAATGGTTTCATTACCATACCGCATTGGTTTAAAATATGGCAGACAACCGCAATGGGCCAACAGAGTATCGGCACTGCATTCCACAACACAATTACGTTGTGTGTACTCATTATAGAAGTCCAAATGCATCTCATTTTCAAACAAGCATCTTCGTGAATTCTTACTTATATAGCGTACATATCTGTCCGATTCGACTTTCTCAGTTTGTATGCGAACTGTCGTTTCGCGTCCCGGCGACAGTAAAAGTCCAATTTCTCGCATATTTGGTACTTCGAGTGGATTGTGTAGTAGAATTTTGAAACCCACACTATCCGAGGAAGAGCAGTAATACTGTTCGCTTTCAACATCTAGTGTCAAGCTCAATCCCAGACTCTCGCCAATGCCAACAGTTTTCATTGGTATAAAATTTTCCGGTAAATTTGCTAGATAGCCGGCTTCTGCACTCCAATCGACAGGCTCATAACCCTTTGGGTAATGATAATTGTTGGCAAGCAATGATTTATTAATTGATCTGTGAGGGGTATGAAAAAATACCTGTGTAAATATATGGTTCACACATTAGGGTGCATCGTGCATCATAAAAAAATCGATGCTATTTTTCCTTCGGAATCATAAAATTTGCTACATTTCAATAAGAATATTACGAAAAAACTACATTTTACTGATTACGTGGGCTAGACCAATTTGAAAAAACCTCCAAGAATTCATTATTTCTACATTTTTATGTAGAACATTTACACTTAAGCTCCTCTATAACCTGAGGAGCTTTCTTGGAATAAATATTTTTAAAAACTTATTTGATTACTTAAAAAAAAACCAGATTTTTGGAGGTGTTTTCAAAAGGGGCGGAGTTCATATAATTCTTAATATTTTTTTCGGGATATTTTGGCGAAAGTCTTAAAACATAATAAATTTAATATTTCCGTTGGAAAACCCAGTACCGATTTTTTTATATGGAGAGTGTTGCACCCTAATGTGCACATGTAAATAGAACGATCTACTTACTCTCGGTACATAAATTTGGGATCCACCATATTGAAGGTGCAACAAAGTCCATTGTCCGTAATGATTGGTCGAAATATTTCAGTGCAATTAAACACTTTTCCTCCAAAATTGCATCGCAATATCATATTAGAGCAAGGTTGAGAAATCTATTTAATAAAAAAATAAGGCTTTGTAGCATTAATTCATTGATAATAGAAGAAAACCCTTTTTAAAACTATAAAACGCAAAGTGCAAAATACTAAACATTAAACACTCAATGCCAAATACCAAATACACAGTGACTCAAACAAATGACCACGTGTTGATTTTCTTCAAATATTTGTAATTTTTTTGGAGCTAATTTTTTGTATTATTTTTGTATAAAAATTTCGTCTAAGCTTTAACCAAAACCGTGTAAATCACAGCTTCAAACTTTATACAAAATTTAAAAAAATTTTATATTATTTTTATTCTGAATTTTTAGAAGACTGGCGGATTTTTGAACTTTTTTCACATAAGTATGAATTTCTTACGAAATAAAACACGGGAGACCGTCAGCAACGAAATTTCAAAATATCAACGCAAGTTTTTGTAAATTGCGCTTGTTATAATAAAAACCCGAAAAAGTAGCCTAAAAAAAAAATTCTCAAAACACAATTCAATTTTTTAGCCGTTTGAAACTTGCACTTCATTAGACTAAAACTGTATGGGCTATAAAAACTGCATACCCAAAAATTAGAATAAAAAGTTGAAAATTTTATGAATATTTTTTGAATTTTCCTAAATTTTGTATAAAGTTTGAAACTGTGATTTACACGGTTCTGGTTAAAGTTTAGACGATATTTTTATATAAAATATCAAAAAATAATACATAACAAAAACTACTAGTTGAAAACAATTGTATGGTTCTCCCAAAACAAAAAAATACACAAAAAAAAATTTTGAAATTTTATAAAAAAAAAATGTTCAACAAGGCAATGTACTTTTATCATACAAGTTGTATTCCCAAAAAAATATGTCCTTTATTTACGTTGGTTAATATAGTCACCGCAATTATAAATAATCTCAGTTCTAGAAAATTGCATATAGGAGTGTAGAATATACAAACAAAAGCCATTTGAATGTTTGTAGCAAAAACCAAAAAAAATGTAATGAAGTTCTCGAACTATCGTCACTTTTATTATGTAAACACATAAGATATTAAAATGTACATTATAAGACATCAATATTTTTTATATTTGTATACATACATATTTATCTAATGTCGCTATTCATCAAATAACTAGGAATATTTCATTACTTACATCAAAAATGAATTCCTTCAAATTACTCCAATCCGTAATTTCTGCAGCAACACTAACGTTGACCTCACGATTACAGATCATTTGTATGATGGTATAATTCAGCGAGTTGCTGTACAAAACCAAAGCACAAAAAGAGCAAAAATCAAAATCTAAATAAATACATATCTACTGTCAAGTGTACTACATATAATATACCGAATACACTTACACCGAAAATCGTTCCGCCTTTGCTCTGTAAGCCTGATTGAGATTGCAAATGGTGACGCAGGAAACGGTTCACTTGTGATTTCAGTAAATTTTGGATTTATGCTCACCAACATGGGCGTAGAATTCCATTTTTCATAAATTTTTTCAACAAAAAATACGGTGCCAAATAAGACGCAAATGAAAGAGATGGCAAAAAATAACCTGAATGCAACGAATGAAAGTACAATTAGTAATCGTTATTTTATTAAGAGTAGTATGAGCTTGTAATGTACACATAAGGATAATACTATACAAAAATCAGTATAAAAGATTTCAGAAAAAGAAGAAAGTTATCACTTCGTCGGAATATTTTTTTTTTTTTATGTATGTTGCCGCATAACTTTGGACCATATCAACCGGTTTCTATAATTGAAGTCGGTTTTGTGTTTCTGCCTGAAAATTACTTGTTTTATTTTATTTTCCTAATAAACTTCCTTTCTCTGTACCTTAGGATAAGCTGAAATAAGCAGACAGATATATCGCACGTTTAATAATATAAAGATGTAAAGCAAAATGTACCTAATTGGACGATTAAAAAGCTATGTAGATGAAGAGAATATGTTCAGCCTAGCAGATGGCTAAACTTCTCAAAAATGGCGAAGATATGTGTCTTTCCATAGGTGTTTTTGTATGAGATGATCAAACCTTGATTGCGTTTTCCCACAAAATTTATATTTTGAAATAATTCTGTACCTATATTATTAAACGTGCAATATGTACATATGTATTTAAATTAAAGGTTTTATTCATAAGCTGGCCTTAAATTAAATAAGAAAAATAGTTTATGTCTCCTTTAATTTATGGTAAACTCAAAATCTTTCTTATGCTGGATTTCCACTAGGCATTAAATGGCAAAAGTGGTGATAACAAAGTTGGGCATTAAAAAATATTTTTGTCATTACGTTAAGAAAGTAGTAATTTCCATCATTTCCTCATGGCATTTTTTAAATGCTGCCAATCTTGTTGTCATTTTAATGCCTAGTGGAAATTCGGCATTACGGGTTTATATTTTTATCTGTTTACTCCGAACTCCGTAAGATGGCGCTGTAGTCGAGATACTTAGAGAGTCCGTCTCAACGTACGGCCTGGATTAACGGGTATTATGATAATAAGTGCTTCTGCAAAAAGCGGACCCAAAACACAGATGGCGCTGGAATCAAGATATTTAGATACCCCTTTTCTACGGTGGTCAAAGGTACCAAATCTTATAAGAATTGAAACATTTTTAAAATTTTGACTGCCATATGGGATCCATTTATTTTTATATGGCAGATAATCGTAACATCTGCGGCAAAAAAATTTAAAAAATCAACGATCAGTTTTAGCCTTTTGAAACTTGCTGTTTGTTCTACTAGAATNGGATTTACACGGGTTTTGTTGAAGAATGAACTATATTTTTATAAACAAAAATAACCAAAATTAAATAACAAAAAAAATATGTTAAAACTTGTCAAAAAGTGGCGCGTCTATAATTTCTTCGACCACTATATATGCACATGATCATAAATGCATACATATGTACAAACCTTTCGATTGGATATAGATTTTTATTCACCACATATTTTAGTCCATGTATCGAAGTATTCTCACAATAATCTTTTATATTTT